GAAATGGACATCAATCACGATAAGGAAGGAGAAAAGCTTCATAAAAGTAGTGAAAGGGTTTACACCTCACGGTAGTGCGCATAAATACAAACAAACTCCATGATCGTTTAAGAGACTTGAGAAAAAGCCATCCAAGGCGTAAATTGCCCCAACGATAATGACTCAGCGCCCATAATCTACACTTCCTAGCTTGCTACCCAAATAACCCGGTGAGTCACATACTTTCCTCCCTATTCACGGAGGTGCATGATGAGGAACAAGCAGAAGGATACAAGCACACGGAGATAGCACGTACAGTAACCCATTATGCAATTAGCGAAGAAAGAAGCATGGATTTGAGAGGTAAAAGCCACTAGGAAATAGAGTTTCATTCATGAACTAATACAAGCGGACATATTAACAGAGGGAATGGTTAAATGGTGACGAAGAAGAGCAGCAACCATTCATGAAAGCGTTGGAATTCCAATCCCGCAAAACGAGGCAAATTACTCATGCATTAAGGATAAGTTAGTGCTTCATAACAACTGTCAGGAAAAAATTCCCAACCACACTAATAATAAGCATCAAGCTTCTTTGGTACGCTCCTTTCTTACCTTAGGACAGTGAAATGGAGTCCTAGTGCATAGAACAGGCTTTTACAACACGGAACTTGAAATCCAAACGATCGCCATTAGGTAACCTCTAGGTTTTTGCATTCAGCTAAGCAGAATCGTTTTCAAAGTGAAGAACAAAAAGCTCTGCAGAAGAAACAAGTTAAAGTCAAGCACAAAATAGAAAATTCATTTTCCTTTCCCACCAGTAAGATTAGTAGAGAGCAAATAAACAAAAAACGCAGCCAAGATTCGATGATCAATATGCAAATCTTGCAATCTCTGTAGGAAACCTACCATGTTTCTAGGAGGGGAACTAACAATAGTCATTTTATTTTGTGGTAACTTAAAAGGAACGAAATAATTCAGGCAAGAGTCGATCTGAAAGAAGTCATGAGAGAGGAGAACGTAATACGCAAATGCGAATGTCGGAGTGTGGCAGGCGTGGGGAAGCGCAAAAAGGGATACTGATTTTCCTTCCCATAGGAAAGCGAAGGTGATAAGGATCAGGAAAGCACATAAAACGAAACTCCATTCCCTGCAACACCATTCTTCCGTCTATGCTATCCAGTCTATCGCAGCGCCTCAAAAGGCGCTTTCCTGCGCTGCAGCACTATACTTTTATGGATGAGGAATTGCGCCAAACAAGGCACTAGCGGTAGCCCACTTATGTTAACACATCTTTATGAGTTAGGTTTATGAGAGTGTAGCACTAAGCGCTCACGCACAAACACATGCTGTGAATTGTGAATTCACGGCGAAGATGTATTCCAAGTTCCCTTTGTGTCCGTTCGACAAATAACAGGTTGATCAGCTATGTGAAAAGAATTAAAGATACTCGGTGACGCTGCGTCCCAATAACGAAGATTGATGGCATTTGACCATCTGACCTCGTAGTTTTATCTTCCTCTACTGTGTCATGGCAGGCAAGGCTTTTAACGCTGGGTGGAGTTGAATTCCGGGAAGTTTTCAAGATGCTGCCCACCGATAAAGCTAGATTAGTGCTGCTTTATTTAACCACGTTAAAAATAAAGCCACACTACAGTTTTCTTGTGTTGGTAGAAATGTTGACTCGAGAGAGGAAGATTGTGGTAGCCTACAAAGAGTAGAAAAATATAAAAGCAAAAGAAGTCTTGAGACGCATCCAAGACCGCTCTGGAACAGTTTTGTAGCAACATGAAGAAAGTAAGTACCCGCATGTAAATAAACACAGAGTGAGCAGAGTACAAAGTCAATGGAAAAGATAATCGAGAAGGTAGAAAAAAACAACGGTTCGTCCTTTGAAAGTAAGAAATACAGGGTGTCAGAAAAAACCAAAAAGTGTTGATCAAGCGGCATTTCAGCATTCTGCATGGCTGAAAAGTAAGTGTTGAAAGCCCCTTTATACATTAGCATTCACTTAGCCATAGTTCGACAAGTACTAATGAAGCATAGTCTTCCCAACACTAAGAATAGCATATCTCAACTTTGTAAGAGTTAAACCTGTTCATTCAACAAGGGAGGTGAATTTCGCCTTTGCACTAGATTTAGCCATCGACTCAAAGTCAAAACAAAAAGGTGGATAGCACGGAATGAAACTAGTGGATTCAAACCAGAGTAAAGCTTGGTAGCTAGGACTTGCAACGCATGGAGCAGCAAGGGAACACAACACATTCGCGACCGAAAGTCGCGACAATTGATGTGGGAAGTTTCTCGATGGGTTTATCACCACAGTCCTTGCTTTGTAGGTCTGGGCAATTATGAAAGTTAACATGCGACACACCCCTTCATAAGAGGCCATAAAATACGCTCCTATATTTTTTATGCTGCGCTCATGGGGAGAACAAAAACAAACATACTCAAAGCTCAGGACTTACAGTTTCCCCTCCTTCAATACTGACGCTGATTCACTTTGAAGTCTGTAATTGTTCACCATTAATCAATGATTTCGAAAATCTGGAAAAATTAGACGCTGGTTGGTGACTGCAAAACGATTTGACATTTACAGAGGAATTCATTAAAAAATGAAGGAAAATCTACTGTTTGAATATAGCGAAATAAGGGAACGAATTCAGTGCAAAACTATGCGAGTCAAATTCATGCGTACCACTCATGGTTCACGGTACGCAAAATATTAGGGTTTTGCTATAATCTTCCGAGGTCAGGTCATTCCGTGCTACCCATTTTGAGTAACAGAATTAGATGGAAGAGACGCTGAAAGTGGTCGGGAGATAGCTACTCAAAGGCCTCTCATGAGCAACTAAGTAGCACAAGGGTGCTGATTGACCGAATATGTTCACGAAATAAAGCTTAACAACAGCTTCATTGGCATAATTCACGTTGGCCGGATAATTTAGCATGAAAGGTTGGAATAATTCTGCGTGATACTAAAAATTGATAAATAAGGTAAGTTGCGTTGATCTACCTTATTTAGAGGGCACCAACATTGTCAGGGAGATGATATACTAAGGGTGCATCACTTGATGAACCAGTGAAAATGTAAAGCTAACAGGGATATATGATGGTCTGAATCATTGTTCAAGCCAGCGCATTCGCGTATGTGCGTGGGGCAAATGAGGGCCGGCAAAAGGTTGCTGCTACCGCCGTCACCATCGATCTGCGGTTGTGTGGGCGCATTGGGTGTAAATTACACTGAAGACACGATGCCCTTCACAATTTCCTCTTGAAGCATCCTAGTCATCCGAGTGAAGTAGGATGGAGGAAGAATGACAAACAAGATGAATGTTTGCGCATAATCACAGGCCCGCATGTTTAAGCATAGGATTAAATACAGTACTTAAATTGAGGATTTTGTTTATTGTGAACTGGAGTCTCTGTTGAGTGGAGAGTTTGGATCAGACCAAGTAGCATCCAATGGTTTTGAATTTGAAAACGAATGGGAAAAAAAATAAAGGATGGAATGGCACAACATCGCATATAATAGTTGCTGACGTGGAAAAAAAGGGGTGCAAAAACGGTAGCTTCGATCATTCACAAGATGGTGAAAAGTTGCGCACAAAATGTGAGCTAGCAAGAATTTTTTTCTGACAAACCTCATCCTCTATTATTCCCAGAGATCGGAACATCAACAGCCGGCTACCTGAGACCGGTAGGCCACCAATTATGAACAGCAAATGAAATTCCATACTGTGGTAGCTAAGTCTTCAGCAGACAAGTATCGGGGGTGCTTGCAAAGACGTTCCTTAGTATTTGGTGGAAGAGAAGAAATGCGCGGAAAGTGAGATGTGTACAGTCTTTTATGGAAAACCAATGAAGTGACGACCAGATTTGTAGAGTTCATTGGTCAAAGCAAGGATTGAATCGCCGAAAGTGGTAGAATTCGTGATTTTGCCTCCTACTAGATGTATCGATAAAAGGTACCGTATTTAATCACTGCAGCAAATTCAACTGAGCATACATGCGAGAGCACTGCACGCACAAAGTTCCAGAAATCGTCGTTCACGTAACTCGACTTAAGAATAACCTCACAACCAGTGCTTACCAGGTACTCGAAGACGAGGGTGAGAGACTTTTCAGTGTGAATAATGTCATGAAGAGTGACAATGTTGGCGTGCCGTAGATCCCTCAACAGACTGACCTCCCGAATGGCGGTGCAAGGCGCGCCCTCCTCATGTTCCAGTCGGATCTCTTTAAGCGCCACTAAATTCTCCGTCAGTAGACTCCTACCCTTGTATACAGTTGCGTAAGTGCCCTACAAAGCAACGGCGACAATTTTCATGAAAAGATATTTTTTGTTTCTTTAACACCATGGCTATTATAGTTGTGTGCTGGAGTCCCACCTTATGAATAAACAGTCCAATTAGGCCCCAAGAAACAATGATTCGTGTAAACGCAACCAAGCTATAACCTGGCCCAATTGTTAAGGAGGCACGGCAAGTTATCCAATGCTTGAACGAAGGGAACAAAGTGAATAAAATGCATAACAAGATCAAAAATAACATACAAGAGCTGATAGTCAGTCAAGACTCCTACAGAAGAGAAGGAATAAGGAAGTGCAATAACGGTGGTAACGGATGCATATTTCGCTAACAGACTGGGACAAACAAGCAAGAAGCAGGCAAAGGGGCCGAAAATCCAACTCCAAAGCCATCAGTGCGATGGCAGCAAGCCATCTGCCAGGACGAAGGAGGAGATAGAAGTGGGATGGATATGAAGGAAATCTACTCAAATAGACTTCACTTCACTTGGTTGTTTCGATTAAGAGAGTTAGAATGGCACTTGCCCTCGCCAAACCAGCTTCAATTAGCTGTGAAAAAAAATTCGCAAACGCCTTACTACGCGCTCAGAATCGTTCTCACAAAATATGCAGATATTTCAGCTCCTGATTCACTTACACAAATATGAAGGCATTAGTCAAATGGGAAGCTTAAGGTTAGTGCTGATGGATGCCTGAAGTTGACCCAAGTAAAAATGGGCGGCCAATAAGTTTACAAAGACTACTGGTTAACTTGCAAGACATTTATGCCAACACAAGGAAAGGTTCATGCATCTAAAATAGCACGGTTGTCATCTCTCACAGTAGTTGGTGCAAAAAATAAAATAAAAAATGCATGGGATCATTTTCAACTACCTTAAACATGTTGCCATAAAAAAATAAATGGATAACAACCCATTATAGTTGTCGCTATTGTGAATGGATATCAGGAGGCTAGCACATCAAATAACTTCGGATACAATGCCAAGATTTCTGAGCAGTGCCCGATTCGGTTCGACGAGATATTTGAGGGCTACAAAAGGGCCAGATAGAAGATTTTAAGACACAAGCATTCGCGCGGTTAAAAAGCAAATACAAAAACCGTCCACAGCACTTTTGAAAGGGGATGAAAACCAGCAATCAAAAGCACTTGTAAGGAGAAGGGCTGAGGAATTGCAACAAGCAAACTACAGTGGAGCCTAATAACATAACTGAGGTACCCCAATTCACAGCGCCTAGATTTATGCTTAACGTGACAATAAATATTTACTTTTACCACCTATCGACGGCGCACATGCATGCAAGTGTGTGCAGACAGCCAAAAAGATTACACAATCATGCCAAGACTGGCGGAAAAGAAGGAAACTTAAAGAGCCCATGATTGATGGCACTCAGTTAGTTAAGTCGAAGATTCCAAATATAAAATCGCTAAACCCCGTTCAGAAATGTAGTTGCGTTTCCTGAGTAGATAATAGCTAATATGAATTCTTAACAGTTAGGGTGAAGGCATAATTTGAGATCAATAAAAGGACACGGCTAGAAACAAGAAAAGCAACCGAGAAGATGAGACAGAAATACGCCCGAATAAATAGGAGAGTGAAAATTAGACATGGCTAATTAGTGGTACCAACTATCATTGATTAGAAGATTCAAATGCATTTCATTCCCAAATTTGTAGCACACAAAAAAGAGTGCTTGTGCATGTATGTGTTTGCGTAGCACACATCACCAGTCATCACGCGTGGTTTTTGTTCGAAGGAGGCGAGAGGAGGGGGCAGTCGGTGCTGACGGAGAGGTCAGGAGTGGTGGTAAAGAAGGC